CACCGCAGCAAGGAGCATCCAACTGTAGTTGAGGAGACGATCAAATATAGCGTAGGGTGACGTCAAAAAGCAAGACAGCCATGATCAATTCATGATCCCACCGCTTCCTAGCTGGGGATCTCAATCAAATGTGCACCTCAATTCCTTTACCTGTAAAATGGGAATAAGACACACCAACGCCTCGCCTTGCAGGGCTGAGAGGATTAGAGACAAGGAATGGCAGGCACGTAGCGCACGTCCTGTCCGATAACAAATAGCTGCTCAATAAATGGTCATTGTGACTGTAGTTGATATGGTGACAACAACAAATAGAACCATCGATCTTAAAGACAACAGGATCTAGGAGGCAAAGAGTCCAACTCACAGAAAAACAAATGGAAGGTAATTTCAAGCACACTCCATGGTAACCAAAAACCCAACTGACAACAGAAGAAAGGTATTTTGCTAGAAAGTGATAGACAGCCCATGCGGGCTGCTGGAATGGAGAGAGAATATTCTAGGCTGCAGTTAGGGAGCATTACCTGTAAAGAATGAGTTTGGAAGATGGGTAGGAATTTTGACAGAAGCGGAGAGGAGCACTGAAAGGGAGAGAGATCAACATGGACAAGCATCTCTCCCTTAGCTCCGGGCAGTCCCCCAGCCTCCCCCACACTCTCAGGAATAAAAATAAAACTAATCCCCTTCTTTCATCCAAGCATGTTCTCTTCTGGCCTCTGGCTGATGGGTCTGTAATCCCTACTCAATCCCTATCACCCTCATCTCAGCCCTGCTTCCCGTCTGCTCACAGCAAAACAGCCATCCCAGCAAATGAGTCCTCCCAGGGAGAGAGGAGAGGTGAGGAAGAAATCACCGACTAGTAAGAAACCTTATCACTAAAGGATGGAATCTGGGTGAAAAGACTCTCAAGTTGAATCTCAATGACGAGAGTCTCAAGTTGGGATATTAAGATTTGGTTATGATCCAAAGCACCTGGCACACAGTAGGAGCACAATGTATACTTATTGAATGAATCAAGCCTTACAGGAGAAGTATAGCTCCATGTTTCTGATGGGGTTCCGCTATAACCATTACCCTGAGGAACTCTGATCCCACAGAGATCCCAGAACTCCAGATGGGGAAAGAGGCCAAGGACAAGCCCTTTGGGATGCAAGACACAAGACAGAAGAGAAAGAGTAAAAAGGAAGTCTGGCCTTTAGAGCCTCAGGCCATTGATTTCATTAGTGTGACCCTACGGGCACTGGCCTTGGAGGGGCCAGTACATCCCAAATTATTTCCAGTTCTCCAAAAGTCAATCTCCAAGGGGGTCCAAAGTCCTTGACCTCTTTCCATACATCACTGGCTTCTCATCTATCATTATCTATCTTTGATCTGGGGGGTTCTTTTTTCATAAAATACATCCCTTTGTTTTCCCTATATGACCATTTACTCAAAAGATCAGGACTTCACATAATAATTTTGCCTATAAGGCCCAGCAGGATGAGGTCAAAAGGATAAGGATGAGCAAGCCCAGCACAAGGAGGTCCAAAAGCACTCACAGTGGTATATATGTGAAGCACGAAAAGGAGAGTGGTTGAGAAAACCCAGGATCCTTGCCTTTCTTCTTAGGAGACTCTACATGCATCTGAAAAGATTAGACTTGAATCTTAACAAGGATTTGAAGAGGAACCTGAGCTCAAGCATCCATTCTCCCAGGAATCCTGTCCCCATGTCCCAGAGGCCAGCCAACAGGGGCTTCCTGTGGTAGCTTCTACCACAAGGATGCTCTCATCGTATCTGTTTCTTGTGTGTCTCCCTAGCAGACCGTGAACTTCCTAAAGTCCAGGAATACGTGTTAATCACCATTATACCCCAGCACCATTGTAGGGCCTGGGGCACAGCAGGTGCTCAGTAAATGTTTGCTGAGTGAAAAGAGGGCCAGGCAAGAAGTCCGCGGACAGGAATTGTCTGAACTCAGCAGATTCAAAGTTCAACTAGTGAGAAATCAGCATGAACCGCCTCATGAGATAGGCTGGGTGTATGCACTGCACATTCCAGGCAAGTCTGTCCTCCGTCACTGAAGAAGCAGGCTGCCGAGGACGCCTGCCAGGAGGAGCAGTGCAAGAGATAAGATGACTCAGGTCTTGTGACCACGGCCTCAGGAAAGCATGCCCTTCGGTGTGGACGCTGCTCTCAGCAAGTCGAGTTTGCGGAACTCACATTTACTGTGGTGGATGATTGCCACCCTCACGATGACCCTATGGGGAAGGTATGATGATCCACTTTACAGGTGCAACTCTGACACCTCAGTCCTACGGACTTCGGAGTCTCACGGTGCTCAGGACAGGCTCACAAACAATGAAGCATTCTGGAGAACCACACATCCTCAGGGATGGAGGCCTTAAATCTCCTTGGTGGCCTCCCCTCCCTCAAGGAGATGCTCAAATTCCTACATCATTCAACAGCCTAGCAAGCTTCTTGCCTCCCTCCCAGGCTCGAGGAGGGAGCCAGCCCAGCTCTCCAGGCAGCCCATCCCATCCTCGGGCAGCTCTGACCAGTAAAAATGCTTTCTACAGAGTCCACATTTCTACACATCAACTTCACATCTTCTTCTCGTATCTACACAGAGCAAAGCTAATCTGCACATGACAGCCCTCCAGCCATCTGGAGACTGTTATCACCTCCCCTCCCCCAGGGTTTAGAAAGATCCCACAGAAGGAGATTGCACAGGCAGCCGAGTGTGAGAGTGTGAGATGGGTTCGGTGCAAGTTAACAAATGTCTTGCCTTTGGCTGATAAAAGGAATCAGAGAGAAAATGGTAATCTTGTTGCAGAGAGGGCAATCTCTCTCCTGGGGGCCAGAGGAGGGGGGCAGGGGAGGCAGGGGCAGAAGGTGGGCTAGAAACCAAAATCCATATAAACTTTAACAACAGTTTTCTCTGGAAATATTAATATTTTACTAGTGCCAGAAGGGGCTTCTGAGATCAACCGAAGTCTTGGTTTCACAAAGGGGGTATAGAGAAGCAGAGAGGTAAAGCGACACAAAGGAACGCAGCTATTAAGGGGCAGGGCCACAATTAGAACCCTTGGCACCGGCAGTCCAGGTCCTCTTTGAACAGTGTCACCACCCATCTCCCTGCTCCAAAGCACTAGGGCAGCACCGGTGATTTCAGAACAGCATTCCCATAATAACAGCACCGACTATAGTCTCACTTCCACCACATCCCCAAGAAACGTAGGGAGGACACAGAGCATTAATTCCACTTTACAGTAGGTACCAACGAGGCTTGGAGGAGCAAAGGGACTGCTTGGGTTCCCCAGCAATCTGAATTAATCCTTGGAACCCAAAGCTCAGGGAGAACTCTTGGCTATTTGTTGACAATCTGCTATTGAAGGGGACCAAGGAGTATCCTCCTCCGGAAATGGATTTCCTAACTAAAGGAAGGGAGCCGCCACTGCCTGCTGTTCGGTTTTGCATTGTTCTATGACTGCTGAGTGTGCCGATCAGGGAAGAGCTGCAAAGCCACTCTCCGTTTCCTTTCTGCCTCCCAACCAGTGTGCTTCAGGGAGAGAGTCTGGGTGCCTCTCCTGATTGTGCCCTGACCAGCTCTGTGACCTGCAGTATCCCTCCCACCCAGGCTGAGCTTCGGTTTCCTCATCTACAAAAATAGGAGCAATAAACTCCACCCTGTAACTGGGATGTTGTTGCAGGAGGCAGGGAGGCTCCCCCCACAATCAGCAACTGTCCCTCTGTTTCTCTTACTTCCCCATCGCCCCACTACCCAGAGCAGGTGAAAGGGTCATGAAGGTCTCGCCCAAAACAAGGGAGGAGAAAGAAAAGCAATTGTGACACCATCCCAGGAGTCCCTCACACTTGTAGGAGGCCGGGGATTTTTCCAAGGAGCTTTTATGGTTATTAGCATAACATTTACCATCTGTTAGTCCTGTATGTGTCATGCACCATACAAAGGGCTTTGTACGCTATCTTGCTTTTAGTCCTCACAATCACGCATCTTAAAGATGACAAAACTTAGACTCGGGGGTTAAAGGACAGCTAGTTAGCCATGGAGCCAGAAGGCAACCCCAGTTCTATCCAGCCCCACGCTTCCCAAATTTTAGTGTGCTCCTGAATCACTGGGGAGATTTGTGAATAATCAGATTCTGATTCTGTGGGTTCAAACTGGAGTCTAAGCTTCTGCACTTCTACCAACCTTCCAAGTAGATGGACTACTTTGTATCAAGGGCTGGATTTTAAATTCCATTAAGACAGACTCTGTGTCACCCAATCCCCAGGGCTTAGCACTGGGCCTGCCCCACAGAATGCACTCAATAATTATTTGTTGAATGAGTCAATGACTATCCAGCTCAAAAAACTCAGGTTTAACACTTGTCTATACCAAGTGTCACTGCGTCATTTGATCTCATAACAAATCTATAAGGTATGACCATGAACATCTGGCAGATAAGGAAACAGAAGCTCAAAAGAATAAGCAGCCTAAGGTTTTACAGCTTTTGTGCGGCAGGGCTGGAGGCGGTCTACCTTCAGATCTCTTGCCCTAACCACAGCTGTCCCGAGGATGCGGGGGAAATTAATAATTATAGCCCGTCGGATGGCGAGGAGCTGGACCATCCCGGCACGTGACCAGCTCACAGCTCGGAGGTCACCCAGGAGCTCCGAGCTGCTCCGGGGGAGGAGGCAGCCGGGCTCAGAGACAAGGCGGACAGGAGAAGGCTGGTCCTGGGCACAGTGCCAGGCAGCAGGGGCCAAGTGGTGATGTGACCCTTAACCTCACAGAGGATCCCGCCAGGCCCAAGCACCCCCCGGGGACCCCAGCTCCGGAGAGAAGCTGTCATCCAGGGAAACCGCAGCCTAGCCAGGAATCACCCAGCGCACGACCGCAGACGGTGGGGAGGGTGCGGGATGCGGCCGGACTTGGGGAAGGCAGGCCTCGCGCCCGGCCCCGATTGGGGAGCGAAGGGACGCCCCTCGGCCGCGCAGCTGCACCCCAGGAGCGGCGGACTCACGGCCTTCAGCTGCTCCAGCCGGTCCTTCATCCTGGAGCCCCGGCGCCCGGCGGCAGGTGAGCGCGTCCCAGGTGAGCGGCCGGAAGTGGCGGCCGGGCCCGGCCAGGGCGAGGGAGCTCGCGGCGCAGGCAGAGGCGGGCGGCGGCCGCCGGCGAGGAGGAGCGTCCGAGGCCGCGAGAAGCTCCGCCGCGCCGCCCCCTGGGCCCAGCCGGCGCCGCGCGCTCCAAATCCGCCTCCCGGCCGGCGCCGGCGCGCACGCTCAGCCGCCCGGCGGCCCGCCCCTCACCTGCGCCGCGCCCCGCGCCCCTGCTTAAAGGGCCCGCGCCCCGCCGCCAGGGGCGCTCTCACTCCCCTCCCCCAGCGCTGGGTGCCTCCTGGGACCGGAGAAGTCCGGGGAGAGAGCCCAGCCCTGGTAGATCCCGCCGCTGGGCCGAGGAAGAGCGAGGGGGTCTGTTGGACCTCAATTCCACCCTTCCCCTTCGACAGCCATTCACTCCCTGCGCCAGGCTCTGTGCTGGGATCCAGCCTCAACAGACTCATTCATTGCTAGGCGCGGACAACGTCCCGTAAACAAAGAACACTCAGACATTGTGGATTGAGCTATAATAAGTGGGAGAAAGAGCTAATTCTAATTCTGCCTGGAGGAAGGGCACTGCAAGTCATGGAATTTGTACTGTCTAGGGGACTGCATATTGGAGCTGGAAGAGGGTTTTTCCAGAGGAAGTAACTGGAGATGAGGTGGGACGGGACAGGCTGGGACGAAGAATTTGGGCTTCTTGATGTTGGCAATTGGGACCCCGCTGAGAAATGCGAGCAGTTCTGTGTTGAAGTCAGAACACCTGCCACTAGCAATTTGTACAACTTTGGGAAAGTTTCTCTAGGGGACCCCGCTTCCACATCTATAAATCAGAGTACCCACTTCACAGTTTGCTGTGAGACCTGTGTGATAGAGGAATGACTGATTCGTCACCTATAGAGCAGGGTTGTGAGATAAAGATGTTTGTGTAGGAAAGCTTAAGCCGTTCTCCTCTGCTACGTGGTGTAAAGATCCCAGGTGGGTTGTACCTTCTGAAAACGTGGGCGGGTTCTTCGCGCTGCCCCTCCCTCTTAACCCCTCTCCTCTCCCCACCCCTACCCTCTCTTCCTTCTTCCTTATTTGTGTTCTTTCTTGGGAACAAATGACATATCCAGCAGAGAGTGACGCTCAATAAATGAGACTGTACGACGATTCAATACTCAGGAAAAGAAGGTGCTGTATGCATTCAAGTTAAAGGGCTGTAAATATTTTCGTAATTCTAACAGAACTTTGCCCTCTTCTGCGATCTCAGTGTGTGCTCGGTGCTGACTTCATCCCCTCCCATAAAAATACTGTCCGTACGCGGTGGAGCCCTTGAAACCCTGCCCTTCTCAGCCCTAATCCTCGTTCTTTAGTCCTGCACACTTCCTTCTACCCTACGCGCGCGCTAGGTGGAGTCTCCGGTCCTTAGTAAAGGGAAGGCTTCTTCGCCCCCTGGTGGTCATAAGTGGAAAAGGTGAGTAAATCAGAAATCCTGTCCCCCCCCCTGCTTCCCATAACAAATTTTCGTTAGTCTGGATAGCTAGGTCGTCGCGCTTCAGGAAAAGAGCTTCTCCTGAGGGAGACAGCTATGTGAACAACTCTTTACGTTAGAAGTCTGAAAAGGGCCGTACGAATCGGGAGTAAGGATCAAGGATGGCCATTCAGCCTCTGCCGGAACACATCCCGGGATGGAACATCCTAGTCCTCCTGGGAAAAGGTAATTGTTTTTAAAAGGGTAAAATCATGACTCTCATACAATTATAAAATGAACACACATCAGAGATTTTGTTTAACTTATGAAGTAATGAGGAAACCCTGTATTGGGTTCAGAGCAGAATCCAAAGAGCGGTATAGGCAATCAGGAAGCCTGAAATGAGTGTTAATAAATGTAAAACTGGCTTCTGTAGCAGGGGGCAGATCAATTGCATCTCCATCAGAAGAATTTCATTTGCATTTCATGTGTATTACTGTCAGTTTTCTACAATTTACAGAATTGTAAAAAAGCCACAAGACCATCAAAGGCACAGACTTTTATAAAATCAGATAACCCAGAAAGGGGCATTGGACAAAGCGTAGCATGCCATAGACACCTGGTAATCTTTTTTTTTTTTTTGCCATTTTAATTTTTTCGCAGTTTTTCCAGACATTCCCAATGTAGTTAAACAGTTACTACTGTTGTTAAAAAGTTTTTTGTTAAACACAATGAAAATTTTCCTCCCTGTAACTTCCACTGCTATTTCTTGCTTCCTGCCTCTCTCTAAACGTTTAAGAAATTTAGTCTGTCCTTCACAAGATGGGCTTTCCATGAAGGGAGAGTTGTTATGGGACAGGAGGACAATTGCTGGACACATAGCAAGGAGGCCTGATTTCTAGACGCAGAGTTTCTGCCACAAAATAGCTGTCACTTGATCACGCAAACTATTTTCTCACCCGTCAAATAAGGGGGCTGCTCCCACTATGATTAGCAGGCTTTTCAAGATCGAGAATATCATAAATGCTTTATTTGCATTCATGGGTCTCTTGTTTTGAAAGATTCCATATCCCTAACAAAATATATTTATTAGGTAATAAGAAATTTGGTTTCCTCAAACTGATAGATACAAATAGATTGGTGGTTGCCAGAGGGGGGAAGCGAGGGGACAAAAAAACGGGTGAAGGTGTTCAAAAGGTAAAAATATCTATGGATGTAATGTACAGCATGATGACTATTAACAATATTGTAGTGTATATTTGAAAGTTGCTAACGGAGTAGGTCTGAAAAGTTCTCATCACAAGAAAAAAATTTGTAACTGTGTGGTGATGGTGTTTTAACTTACTGTAATCATTTCACAATATGTACAGATATCAAATCATTACATTGTATACTTTAGACCAATACAATGTTATATGTCAATTGTATCCCAATAAAACTGGGAAACAGAAAAAAATTTGGTTTCCTATGAGAGAATGTTTCCACCAAGAAAAAAAAAATGATCTTTTGATTAGCCTATGTGGCCATAACAGAAATGACTATATGATTCCTTAAACTTTTTTTTTTTCTGGTGAGGAAGATTGGCCCTGAGCTAACATCTGTTGCCAATCTTCCTCATTTTGCTTGAGGGAGATTGTCCCTGAGCTAACTTCTGTGCCAGTCTTCCTCTATTTTGTATGTGGGACGCCACTACACCTTGGCTTGGCAAGTGGTATAGCTCTGCACCCAGGATCCAAACCCACAAACTCCAGGCCCGCCAAAGCAGAGCCTGAGAACTTAACCACTACGCCACTCAGCCAGCCCCCTTTAAACTTTTTAAACATTGGAAACAGGAGAAAGAGCCCTTTAACTGCAGCTGGATCCAGGAACCCAGGCGGGGAAGCATCAGCAGAGTACTTTTATTCTGGCATTCTATGTGAAGGTAGTTATTCTAGACTTCAAGCCTTCTTTAAAAGTTCTATTAAGTATGAACCTTATATTGTTAATTTCATATTAACCTATTAATATTTGCTCTTTCCTGACAGGCAGAAGTCTGGGTTCCACTTGCGAGTTGTGTACAATAAACTGAAGAAAATCAGGTGCTGTGGGACAAGGGACCCGGGTGAGGGGAGTCCTTGGGCTGGTGAGAAAGACTCTGATAATGACTCAAGTGCACTATAGGGTCTCCACGTAGGTGGACAGTGACTTAAGGCTCCAGGCTCAGCAGGAGCCCCTTCTGTCTGATGTAGTTTCATTTTTCTGTGGTACTCAGTTTCCCACCCATTAGGTCTTAGTGTGGCCTGTTTCCCCATTAAACATAGTCAGGATTAATTCAGGGGTTCGTATCTGGGTCATAGATAAACCAGCCAACACTTCATTTCACCTTTACGAACAAACCAAAGACAGAATCCTGGGATGTGGGGGCTCTGCTTCCCTGTCTTTCCTGCCTCTAAGCCTGTTTCTTCCTCACTGGAGGAAAGGACTGAGCCCTACCTCTTCATGACCTCAGGGCCTGCTGTGGAGCAGGTGAGACCACTGTCTGCCTGGTGTACATCGAAGCAGTGTCTCCAGGGTGTGGTGTTCAGTAGAAAGAAATAAGAGAAGCTAGAGAGTTGAGGGGAAGAGGCTTTCTGTCCCCCTACAGCAATTCTTCCCCACTGCAGGGGGGGATAGAGAATAACTAAGACAGAGAATAAACTTCCTGACTTGCAGTTTTCCCCCTCTTACAGTTTGTAATAGATTTTTATTGTTGCGTAACACATTGCCCTGAAACCTAGCAGCTTGAAACATTAAATATTTATTATCTTATCGTTTCTGTGATTCAGGAATCCAGGTGCAGCTTAGGTGGGTGCCTCTGTTTCAAGATCTCTTACGAGACTACAATTAAAGTCTAAGCTGGGACTACAGCCTCATTTCACGGCTTGACTGTGGAAGGATCTGCTTCCAAGGTCACTCATGTGGTTGTTGGCAGGAATCAGTCCTCAGGTGCTGTTGGACTTGGTTCCGTGCTGGCTATTGGCTGGAGGCTGTCCTCAGTTCCTTGCCGTGTGGACCTCTCTGTAGGGCAGCTCACAACATGGCAGATGGCTTCCATCAGAGCAAGGAGGTGAGAAAAACAGAGAGAACGAGAAAGACAGAGAAAGAGATGGATGGAAGCCAAAATGTTTTTGCAATCTGACCTCAGATGTGGCATCCTGTCTCTTTTGTCATATTCTGTTCATTAAAAAAAAGTCATTAGGTTCAGCTCACACTCAAGGTGAGGGGATTACACGACGGAATGAAGACCAGGAGCCATCTCAGTGGCTCCCTAGGACACAGCTCAAATCTGCTCTTTCATCCCGTGTCAGACCTGGACAGCTCTGACCCATTCTCCAAGCCTCAGAGTAGATGCTTTACCCTCCAGGATTGAGTTAATGGTCCTTCAAGCATGCCTCTGTGACACCCTGGACTTCTCCATCATAGCCCCCACCACAGCATGTCATTACCTAGCCACTGGTCTGCCTCCTGCCCCTTCTGTAAGCTCTGTGAGGACAGCCACCTTGTCTCTTGTCTTCACTGATGTGGACCCAGACCCAAGCATAGGGCCAAAACATACTGGGCACTCGGGGTATGTTTACTAAATTTATTAAACGACCGTTCTTATAATATGTCTTTGCTGTGTCTTTCTTCTGATTAAAATTTATCAGTAGCTTCTCGTTACAAAGAATAGAGAGTCCAGACTCTCCTTAGAGTAGCATGCAAGCCCTTGCCCAGTCTGGCCCCAGTCCCATGGACTATTTGTCCCTGACACACATGGCCCAAGCATCAGCCTCATCAAACCCTCACCTCTTCTCCGAACCTGTTGTGCCCAGGATTTCCCAACTATCCTTGCCTCACATGTCCTTTTCCCGTTTCATGTCTGGCAAATCCCTTCTCCTCCTTCAAGACCAAAGCCTTCTCTAGTTCACTCAGGTTGTCTCCTTGGCCTCTCTGCCCACCCACCCCCAAAATCACTTGTTCAGATCTCTTTTTAAAGTGTACCCTGTGTTGTCTTATACCTAGTGGCTTACACATCTGTCTCCTTGGCTAGACCATGAACTACTTGAGAACCATGACCGGGTATTATAGCATTCACCTTTCAGGACGTAGATGCGCTGCAAACATCTGGAGAGTAGAGAAAGAATAGTTGGCTACTTACACACACACACACACACACACATACACATATATACACGTGCTCCCTAGAGACGCTTCTCTCCCTAAGGAAGAAAGAAGATCCTTCCTGGATCCTGGCTCTTAAACTAAATGCAATTGCAACTCCATGTGTCTTGAAGGATGAACTCTATGTCACTGAATTGTGTTTAAAATAATAGGTTTTGTTTATAAAGATGTTTTATATCATGTTGTTCAGAGGTTTTCCTAACATGAATCTGCATATACCTAGGGCTATGATTTAACAATATAAATAATTTTTGCACCGTGTAAATATATTCTTATTTTTATACAAATTCCTCAATCCCTGGAGCCCTAAAGCTCATGGTGGACTCTACAGAGCCTGGTAAGGAAGTGGGAAGATGCAGTGGGGAGCCTCATGCGCAGAAGCCTGCTGTTGCTTCTGAGCTGCAGAAGACACGTCTGTTGTTTGCAACACCTGCTGCGAGTGACAGGGTGAACACAATGGAGCGCCGGTGAAAGGCAATTGAATAGTTATGGCTTTCAACGTTTTGTAGTTAAGAAAATAAGCCCTCAAGTGTATTTCTCCATTTGGATGTTTAAATGACCATGCTGAATCTTTTATTGTACTTTTACAGTTTTTCTTTTTTTTTTGTTCTTCAAGATCTCACAATAACTTGGGGAGATGGAGTAGATATTATTATCCGCATTTTGTCATGAATTAAATTAAGCACAGAAAAATCGGGTGATTGTCCCAAGCTCTCTTAGGATACTGATAGCATGCTGGGAGAGGTGTGGTTTCCTGCCCAGGTGTTGAAACCAAACCGCCCAGATCAAATCTTGGTTCTACCTTTACCCCCTGTGTGACCTCAAAAAGTTAGTTGACCTCCCTGTCTCAGTTTTGTTATCTGCAAGCAGAAAAAATAACAATACGCATATCATGGGTTTTTGTAACAATGAGTTACTTTATGGCAATAATTAATTCCTTTATTCAGCCACTTGAAAAGAAGCCTACTAACCCATGATAACTACATTATTTTCTCAGACAGCATGGAGAACTGAAAGATGCCCGGAATATTTCAACCACCAGTGAAATAACCCTCTCGAGACTCAGCCTCAGTGAAGGCAGCATTTTCAAAGTAAGTTCAACAGGATAAAACATTTCATGAGACACTCCAAGGAGTAAAAGAGTTTGGTGGTGACAGAGTTCAGAAAACATGGTGAAATGCATCCTTCCTCTTAGAAAGTCATGACTGCACGTTTGCAAGTTACAGGCACTGAGTAAACCTGCTAGTCGACAACTAGTTTTAGTTGATCAGCACAGGATTCTTCACACTTGTTTGACCATATAATGTTTAGTCCCTTCAAACACCTGTTATTTGACAGGACCAGTGCCCTACAGATAGCGCTGAGCTATAGAATGTTGCAGTAGAACATGGGAGCGGCAGCAAGTGTCTGCAAGCGAAGCAAAGATGATCCTTTTAGGTTCTTGTTTTTGAAAGGAAGAAGGTGACATTTCAGTTCTATATAATATGAATTCTGGTCATAGTTTCCATCTTTTAGGCCTGTGACTCAGAGGAAAAAAAGAAAAATACGTTTTATCACTTTTTAAGCTTTTCCAGATAAGGAAACAGAGGCACAGAGAGCAGACTCCCTGTTCCTGTGCCCTTCAGTTCCCTCCTTCAGAAATGCCTTTCCTGTTTCTCTTTGCACACCCGGAGACCAGGAGACCTGTCACGGTGCGGCTTGAATGCCACCTCCCCCACCAAACTTGCCTTGATTCCCTTCACTGTCCCTCCTCTGGAAGCTTCTAGCATTGTTATCACTCGGCCATTGGTGTAATCGTGGTTTATGTTCTTATATCTCATCAGACTTTTCAATTCCTTCAAGGCAGCAGCTGCCTCTTACTTACCTTTCCATTTCCTGCTCCATCTGCCACATGTGGTGCGTAGTACATAGTAGAGTTCAATAAATAATTGTCTACCATCTTGTTGAATGAATAAATCACTTGGGCAGAATAAATCAAGGGGCAGAAGAAGGGATGAGCTTCCTCTACCCGACAAAGAGATGGTAAACCATGTATGCTCTGATGGCGTTGCCTGGAGACAAATGATCATCATGAAAATGATCACCCAGCTACTCAGAGTCACATTAATGAGTCCTTCCCCTCCTCACTGTACCCAGTCAAGGTTTGTCTTTGTAGAATTAGCTTTGCTCTACCTGAATCCACATTTGAACCAATATGACCTTTCTCCTACCCAGAGATGCTAAATTAACAAATGTTTTCATACCATGCGTATATAACTAGTCCATTTGGGATACTATAACAATACCATAGACAGTGGCTTATAAACAACAGGAATTTCTTTCTTACAGTTCTGGAGGCTGGAAGTCTGCAATCAGGGTGCCTGCATAGTTGGATGAAGGCCCTTTTCCAGGTCGCAGCCCTCTCATTGTATCCTCACATGGCAGAATGGGCTAGGGAGCTTTGTGGGGTCTCTTTCATAAGAGCACGAATCCCGTTCCTGACAACTCACCCCTCAGGACCTAAGCAGCTCCCAAAGGCCCCACCTCCTAATACCATCACATTGGACATTAGAATTTCAACATATGAATTGGGGGGGCGGGGGGGACTCAAGCATTCAGACCATCTCAACAGGGATAGACAGAAAGGGATAATATGAGATATGTGAGTGTGTTTGTGTGTGTGTGTGTCTGTGTCTTTGTGAGGGACAGAGAATGAGGAGGAGGATAGGGAGGACAGAGGCATGGAGAGAGTTATGCAGAGGCAGACTAATAACAAAGTCAGAGATTGAGATGGAGGTGTATTAGCTCCAGGTATAAGAGGTTAGAAAAGAGAACCACGCAAACTTTTAAACTCCAGTGCTTTCCCCATCACCTTTCCCTGGAAGAGAATTTAGGATTAAAGATAAATAATTCAAAAAGACATAAACTCAGCATTTACACCATGGGAATCATGAGAGAGTGGTTGGGGCGGTCCCAGTTTCATTTGCGTCCTATTCTTGGCTCCGCCCCTGCCCAGAAGGTGCAATGTTCAGGCCTGATGAGTACCTGAGAACTACATCTGGAGACAAGTCCAAGGGAGAACACAGACATTACACATGATGATGAGGACAGTGATAACAACCTTCACTGCTGCATCTCCCTTTAAAAGTCACAAAGTATTTTTACTTATGTATCTTTTGATCCTCACAACTGCCCCAAAATATACGTCTTGTGGGTATTTTAATCCCCATTTGAGAGATGAGAAATCTGAAGCTGAGAAAAGAAAAATGACTTTTCAGAAATAACATAACCAGGAAGAAGTAACAGTACAAAACCAGTGACCTCTTAGCACTCATCTCCTCGTCTTTCTGAGAGCATACCCATTTGTCTCTACCCAGCAACGTGCTAGCGGGACATCCAGGGTGTTCCTTGTGTTTAGGGCAACAGAAAACTCATCATTGCTCTCTTCAAAGCATCCTTAAGCTCTCTGTTCCTCATGCTATAGATCAAGGGGTTCAGCACAGGGGTGATGAATGTGTAAACCACAGACACTACCTGGCCCCTCTCCGGAGAGTAGCTGGAGCTGGGGCACAGGTAGATGAGGCTTCCACATCCATACTGGAGCACGACCACAGTCAGGTGGGAGGAGCAGGTGGAGAAGGCCTTTTGCCTCCCTTCTGCAGAGTGGATCTTCAGAATGGCAGCCACAATGAAGGCATAGGACAGAGTGATCAGCAGGAAGGGGATGGTGAGGACAGTGACACTGACCACAAACAGAGTGGCCTCATGGACATGAGTATCTGCACAGGC